CTTGCATTTTTGCACCACCATAGTTAGCAGCCCCTCTGAGCTAAACAGTGTCAGAAAACAGTGATTTTTAACATGGAACTGCTGAATTATGTGTTTTTAAGGTTTAAATCATCTGTTCCATTTATTTTGGAGAGAGACCTCTGCGGATGATTTGGCTCCCAGTAAAAACCTCCTGAACAATGACCACTGATGGAATCCTAACCAGGATTGCACGTTTGGCACGGGGGAGAAGTTTCAGCTGGTTGCAATCTGCAGTCCTGCAGTATTTTTTGTTTATTGTTAGGCGACAACCTCGAATGGCCATGGTAATTATGACAGAAGCAAAGGAGGAAATCAGGTAATTTAGTGCAAAGAGCAACAAAGCCCACAAGGGGAGGTGATCAGGGTGGTGGACGGGTCAAACAAACACAGGCCCTTCACTCAGGAGACCAGTTTTCGTGTGAAACCACGTGAAACCAAAAGTCAACATAACAAATGTGCCTAATTCAACCCAAACCATTATCTTTTTCTGACGTCAACCTAATGATAGATTTCTGATGCGTAACTGTGACCGTTTCACAACATTAACTACATGTTTAAAACTGCAACCATAAGTGGTGCCATGCCATTGCTCCAATGGCCCAAAATTCCAAAGCCCCATTAGTTAAAAAAAGTCCCATTGGACTGAAAGCCCAGTATTCCAAAAACAAACATCCATTCCTAAGTCCCGTTTCTCTGAAAATACTAACTCTTTGCAGTTACTTTCAGTTTCCCAGTGGCATTTAAGCCACCGATCCTAGGTGTTTCTTCCGACCCTTCACAGCATTTTCTAGCAGCATTAGAGCCACTAAACCTGGGTGATTTTCATCCTAAAATGTCCCTGCTTTTCCAGTGACTTTATAGCCAAACATGAGTGTTTTAAGCCAAAACACAATCTTCTCCTAATCATAACCAAGTGGTTTTTGTACCTAAATCTAACCACACATTCTCCACAGCATTGATGACAAATGTAACGAATCTGTTGTTAAGAGAAATGTAGAATGTGAATATTTCTTCTGGCAATTGGGTTGTCTAATTGCAGGGAGAAACAGGACTTCGGAGCAAAGAGTGTTTGTTTTCTGGGTAACTGGCTGTCAAAGAAATGTGCTTTCAGTCCAATGGAACATTTACAGAGTAACGGGGCTTCGGAATTTTAAGCCACTGGAACAATGGGCAGTCCACCCATAAGTATGCCCATATATGTGGCTTTGGGGAATCATTTGCAAATAAACTATTCTGTCATTTAGGTATGAGGATGTGTTGGCTCCATTAGCTGACAGACTGATCTAAATGACTAAAAATAACACCATCAAAGCATTTAACAAAGTGCATAGGGTGTTGAAACACCAAAACTTTTCCTCATCACTGAAGGAGGAAAAGTTTTTCACTTCTAAACCAGTGACATTATCACACACACAAAGTGCCTTGTCTCCATTCAGCAACCCACACAAACACCCATTCATTCAACTCGAGGCTTGCACAGGCAGCTCTCTAATCAAAACAAAACTTCAGAGACTCAGGCCGAGCGCGACAGAAAGAGCGTGAGGCTCTCTGAGTGTGTTGTCAATTAGCAGCAGCAGTTCAATGGTACAGAGTGAAAGAAGCCGAAACAGGAAAGATCCTGAATGAATCAAACAGGTCTGTTGTTTTTATGAGGTCTCTGATGTGGACCCAGAACTAAATGTTTAAGTATGAGTTCTTCAGCCTCTTCAAAGATCTGGTCAAGAATTAGGTTTGCAGAAACAATGAGGCAGCTTGTGCAAAGAGGCCCTCAGTGTGCTGGTTGCTATATTGTCCGGGACGTTTCTTTTCAGTGCTCGGTTTTCCCCTCCCTTTGCTCCTTCTCTCACTCCAGCTTTCCATTCGGCCCTGTCCTTCACGGGTGTAATTCATTACCGCCTACGGTCAGATGTTGACACACATGCACACAGACTTGCACACACATGCCAGCATGCACACATATTTGGTTAGAGGAATCAAGTATAGTTTCCATCACTTTTGAAGTTTATGATATGAAAATGTGTGTTGGTCCTGTGCCTATTTTAAGCACACCACCCTGCATGTTTAGGGTAGTATGTGAATTGGCCCCAGGACGAGAACCACAGTTTCTATTTGAGCTGAATTGTTTAAATAATGTTCAGGATATTTGACATTTAGTTTCTCAGTGTTTGGTTTGGAGACTGAACGGTTAGCTGTGGGAAGGCTAAAATTGGTTTCCAAATTATTCGAAGGAAACTGGTGTCAAAATCGTTGGTTATGTTGTGTAATCTGAGCAAAACCCCCAGATGAAAGTAGATTGGAAAAAATAAAATATAGCAGGCTAATTTGAAGATTGAAAACCTTAGGAAATGTTGGAAAACACCGGTAAACCTAAAGAATGAATACATAGCTCCATAAGGGGCTGGTCATTTCTCTTATTTCAGTTCTCTTTTCTTCTCTCGACAATCCAAGGAACATTAATGGGAATAATTTTCCCATCAGTCTCAATCACAATGCCTTCAGCTGTGTCTGTCAGTCTAGATGTGCTGTTTCCACATCACATCACGTCCTGGGTCTGGAGAAAGAACACTACAGCTGTGTTCACTCACCCATTTATTTGTCTCCATTGACCAGGTTTGCTCTCTCTACTACGTAACGCAGACAATAAATGCACAGCACTTCTCTATTTGGATCCAGATGGAGAGAAAGGTCAATAAATTGTGTCTGACAGCTGCTTGACTGCTCTGAGAAGACAGGGAGAAAAGGGGAAAGACATACAAAGAGAGAGAGAGAGAGAGAGAGACATGGATGAAGGGACAGAAGACCTGGACAAGTGATGGACTGACATAAGGTGACGAGGACAGACAGGAGGAGAGAGAAGACACAGCGATTGGCAAGCTGTGCAAAGGTGCAAACAAATGCAACACAGTAAATGGATTCCAGGATAAACTGTGCACAAAAGTGTGTATGATTCATAACAAGAACACTTAACAAAGGAAGGATTCATCCTGTCTCAGCTGTCTATGATGACTCTTTTCACTTGGCCTTTATGTGAAGCCTTACTGAACAGCTATAAACAATTTTCCTTTCTGATGTCTTCGGCTGACACATCATACGATCTAGTTCTTTTTGAGCACCTCAAAGGTTAGCATTTTCCAGTCAGTCTTAAAACAACAATCAGGGGTCCATATGTAGATTTAAACTGTTTAAGATTGCTCAGATGATTCCTCCTGCTCATACCGGCCATAAACAGGTGGACGCAGATCCATTCCTGATCTGATTCCAGTGGAAGAGATCGGGGCAAACAGTCCACAGTCCTTGTTCTGTGCAAGAATTGAAAAGTGTATCTGGCTTCACAGGCTGCACTACTCTACTCACTACCTCATTCCTTTTATTCCCTTTGTCTTTTCACTTTGCCCAAAATGTAAATCAGCAGAGGACAGTATAGAAGTATACAACTGTGATATTCCACCAGACCCACGCACTGCCACCCTGGGTGGAACCCGACATATATTAGCCCTGCCCCACTTGCAACAAAAGACAATGCAATATGTCATGGTTTTAGCAAGAAGAAATATTTTAACTCTTAAGAAATCTAAGGATGTGCCTTCTTTTAAGAACTAGTTGGCAGAAATCACAAACTTGTAACACATGGAGAGAGTAAGATACAGTGTTTCCCTCAGCTCTGTAATCTGTGATGAAACATGGCAACCATTCAAGTCCTATTTATTGAGAATGGCCTAGTGTTTGCATGTATGTATAGATAGAACATTTGTGTTATGTACAGACATACATTCTGTAGTAGCTGGTCATACTACCTATGAGCTTCTTTTTTTGTACTGTTTATTTCTAGGTGACCTGCACTTGTATTCGTGTTGTTTGTATTAAAATCTGAAAATCTACAAATAAAATATTTTTAAAAGTGTATCAGAAGCTAATATGAGGCTTCAGCAGTCTGACTTAGACAAATCAACTTGTTGTTGTTGTTACTATCCCTCTATTATCTGTTGTTCTAAGAACACAAACTGTGGGAGATACCCACTTGCTTAATAAACTTCAAAATATATATTTGCACTAACGAGAACTGTGGGATCTTTTAATGACCAATGTAAACAAATCAAATGAATTTTGTTTCAGTGTGCATATGGGCATCTTAATATTGTTTTAATACAGGTGAAAAAATGTTTTAAGTCCTTTAAGTTGTTCATGCTGCACACACACATCAGAAGGTCCAGCGTGTAGGATTTAGGGGGGCAGAAATTATATATAATATAGTGAGTGTGTTTTCTTAAATGTATAGATCACCTGAAAATAAAAAATCTTGTTTTCATGACCTTAGAAGGAGTTATTTATATCTACGTAGGGAGCAGGTCCTCACCTCACCAAAGAAACCAAGTAGTGGCTCTAGATAAGGCCATTTGCAGCTTTGCATCAACCACTGTAGTTGCTGGCCATCTGTGACAACAGCGTCCAAAAAAAAATAGATTTTTCTAACGTGAAACTGCTTCACTCAAGTCTTTTTACCAGTTTAAATCACTTGGTCAGTTTGTTTTGGAGAGGAAGAGACCTCTGCGGATTAATCAGCTCCCAGTAAAAACCTCCTGAAAGTCTGGATTTTAATCTATTAACGAAAAAAGGTGAGCACACATTGGCAGATCCTGGGCAAGCAGCCGGTCTGTGACATGCTGAATAAAATAGCACTGGAGAAACACTGATTTGTAAAATAGAAAATGCTTGAGTCAGTGTTTTTACTGGTTTTGATCACCCATTTGTTCAGGAGAGGAGGAGATCTCCAGATAATTTGGCTCTCGCTGGTGGACACTGCAGTCCTCAATGCTAGATGCTTCTAAATCCCCCTGAATCTTACACACTGATACTTCAAATTAAAACAATAAAAACTGCACAACAAAATGGAACATGGTACAATAGGAGAAAAGAGTGATTGTAGTATAAAAGTTTATATTTATAAATGATATATTTACAAAAGAAGTTGTACAGTTACGTTAGTTTCAATAGAAAAAGTTTAATTTTTTTAAAGGCATAACAACATGAATGAGAGAAACGTTTCCATATCTTTACATCATAATCTCATTAGTCAACATATTTCAGTCTTAAGAATATCATGGATTTGATAGATTCTTTATGACTGTGCACATAAATATTCAAAAATTTAAAAAAAAAAATAAAATAAACATATTATGTCAGTAGTACAATGGATCTTTACTAATAAACAGCAGTCATCACAACATGTCACTTCCATTTTATCACAGTCTAATAGTCACACTGACACATTCTAACATGAAATACATCAAATCCTAAAAGTTTCATTATAATATCCTTGAAACTCTAGTGGAACAAAAGTACTGCATCAGACAGGAGTAAGGCTGGTTAAATGCTGTACATTTGCTTCAGTCTGTATATACACTCGTACTTCCACCGAGTTTAAAGGTACACTATGCAGGATTGTCCATTACTGTTTATATACACACCAGCACAGTGAAAGTAAAAGCCAAAAGCCACATTCACTCTCATTTCACCTTGCTATTTTTGCATTTTTTCGGCACTGTGTCTCTGTCTGGCAGCTGGTTGCTACCTTTTTTTAAAGCCCTTACCTCACCTGAGTGCTGTGGGGGGTACACAGCCATAATAGTACCAAACATGGAAAATAAAAAGAATATAAGATACTACAGGTAGAGGGCAGAATATGTGCAGAAAAACACAGCGCTATACATTTCTAGAAGACTTAAGTAATGACTGAGAGGGTTTTTAAAGAAAGTCCTGCATAGTAAATCTTTAAGGAGCTCCCTCATACTTTTGTCAATTCAAGCAGGGAGGAATGAACAGTACACGTATTAAAAATCTTACAGCAATTTTCATTGTTGTCCTCTGTAGTATCAGTATGATCATTTACACACAATCTACAGTGCATTATAAGAAAACATATTTGCAGTGCCAGGCACATTCGGCACCCTAAGCAAGTTTCCTCTTTAGAAATGAACTCAAATATACAGCAACTGCCTATGTTGCCACAGAAGGCTCTGCTGCTGCATATTTATGAAAAAGATGACAAAGAGGTAAATGTTTTGTATGCAAAGATGATTTGACTACAGATTGAAAAAAAACTGGTTAAATGTATATTTCAAAGTTTTACAAAAAGCTGTATTTGTTTTCTTCATCACATCATTTAATTAACGACTTCACTTCTTTCATAATGTATGAGTATGAGTACAGTATGAACAGGTAAAGGAAAAACGGCACAAAATAGTTGTATATAATGGTACTGAAATCATGCAGATGAGCTTTTGCTAATGTACTGAAATGTGGAGATGAGCATCAAGGGATCACTACAGTACTTTTCCCCATCTCAGAGGGGTTCAGTCTGTCTCACACAAAGTGGCAGAGCCCTTCTTAAACCAGAAGCCTGGGAAGATTGGCTCTTTGAATTCAGCATGGAAGGTGTGTATGTGGCTCAGCTTTCCTGATGTGACACCGTAATAAGTCAGAGTACCACGTTCCCAGTCCAGAAACACTGCTATTTTGTGACAAAGGGGCACTTTGGGCTTTTTCTTAGTATCAATAGTTTTGGATTCCTTCCCATGTAATGGAATGTATCCAGACTTCGAGCAGAGCAGACTCCATGACACCTCATTGCATCCCAGGCCACCACTGCTGTCACATCCCCTACCCACTGCTTCATACGTCACTGCGATGCCGACTGTCCCTTCCCACTCCACCTCCCAGTAGCAGAGGCCTTTCAGGCCCTCCTCACAAATCACCTGCGACCTCTTAAACCTTTCAGTGTTTTCAGGTTGGGACACCTTCTCCTCCACCTTCACAGTTTTTACTTTTCTGTTCCCTTCAAACACAGAAAGCCTTTTGCCTGCTGTGTTTTCATCAAGCTTCAGGTGTACACCATCTGATAGAGAAACAAAACACACAATTTAGTGGGGTGTGCAGTTACAAGGCAAGGCAACATTTTAAAACAATTCATTTAAGAACTAGACAATAGAAAATATAAAGTTAAAGTGTACTAAGACAGGTATAAAATACAAGAATTTAACTTATAGCTCAATGTAAGGAATGTATAAATATTTGATTTAAGAAAAGGCAGTGGCAAACATAAAAGTCTTCAGCCTTGATTTTAAAGAAAATTTGGCAAAACACTGTTCCAACAAGAAGAACAAAACCAGGTGGCAGCCATCGCAGCCAACTGTGACCCAGTCTGTCAGCTGTGCCATGAGCTGTCCTTGGTGATATTGTCCTTCCCAGCTTCCTTACAATCAAGATGGCAGAGAAAATAACAAAAATGGTGTCTAATTCATCTCATATCATGCCTAACTTTAGGTAATCATAAAATATCAGATATGGATCAGATGATCCGGTTCAAAATTAGACCAAATATTTCTATGTCAGTTTTTTAGACATGACGAAGGCCAAATTGTAGCCTGCAATAGACAGTAAGGCTTTATGTATTTAGCAGAGCTGATTTCCAGAAGACGTGACCCCTACCAGCCAGTTGAGAGCAGCGAGGAGTCAGTAGTCGATGATATAAAACAATCAATAAAACTGTTTTTTCAACAACTGTGAATCACCGCAACCATGACAGATCCTTGAATATACAGTCATGCATGTGCACACAAAATATTTGATTGGTCCAGTGAGATGTGCTGCAGACAGACACGTGCATGCACACACAATACCAAACACATGATCCCAACTGAAATAATACTGACAATAGTAGTAGAAGAAGAAGAAGAAGAAGAAGAAGAAGAAGAAAGTTAAAAATAATAAAGACTTACACTTTTTCATCCCTGGCTTTAACCGATGCGCTCCATCATGCTCCAAACTGAAAAAATGAAGATCACAAAAAGAAATGTTCAACTTCAATAGAACACAAATTAATAACTGCTATTTGGTGGAACAAACCACCTCCAAGCAACATCTGTATTTATTTATTCTTTTAATCACTTTTTGTGAGGGAAATTTGCTAGTGATTCGTAGCTTCTGCTGGGCTTGCATATGTTAGCATTAAGAGGTGGTGTAAAGTGATTTTTCAGCTTGTTGGACAGATTGTTTTTGTAAGAATTTGGTCACATTGTATGGAGTGTCACAATGTGTAACTCTGCCTTAACATGTGCTTTCTTTATCCTGATAGTGTACATGTTAATGCCAAGTGTAATGGGGACATTTTCTCTTCATAAGAAGGTAACTGAGTGTTTTGGTGACTAGCCTGCTACCTAATAAGATAAAAGACTTGGATTAGATTTTGTCTTTGTGTAGATGTAGTCAACTATTTCACTATAAGTGTACATATATAAATACACACCCTGACATCTTAACATACCAGAGAGTCTCCAGGTTTGTATTTGGATCTGCAGCTATATCAGAGAGCATCTTCTTCCCATCAGCTCCTGGGTGATTGTAACTGAGATCCAACTGTTTCAGTGTGGAGGCATTTTTGGACCTGAGAGCTGAAGCCAGGGATAAGCATCCTTTCTCTGTCACCTGACAACCTGACAACCTGCAGATCACACACACACACACACACTCCTTACTTCAAGAAATGATTTTGCAAGTTTCACTTCATAGTTATCATGTTTTTAATGGTTATAATATTTGAGAAAATTGTTTCTACAAATTCAAAATACAGTAAAAGTAAAGTGCAAAAGTACTGATGTTGGAAAATAAAGGATATACCAAGTTCATGGCAGTGTAAAGGACAGAAGTCCATTAGTATCTATATCAGGACACCTTGTATTTATAGCACATATATGGCCATCTATCACAGAAAATCATGTTTAATCATTCATTTGCTAAAGTTTCTTTGTTGTCATTTAATTTCATAATAATGTGTTTCCTCAGCAAGAGTTATGTGGTAACATAGCTTCAGGTAGCGTTGCTATGGTTCCTTGCAGTTTAACTGATTTAGAAGGGTCATTTAATCTTTTTTGAAGTGTTCTGTTAAATTGAGAAAGTTTGCTCTGGCCAGTGGGCGGTGCTTGGTTTTGGCTCAACTGTTTTCAGTATGACAGCCAGGTCACAAGCTTGTCATTTTACAGCTAAACAGTACACTAAAATATGTTGAAACATGTTGATAAAAACATCTGAGGAGATAAAAGGCAATGCAGTAACAGAATCTTGATTCATATTTGATCAGCACTGTCTAGTTTGAGAGTTTGACTGCAGTTCATGAGCAGTGACTGACATGATTGACAGCTGCATTGGTGACTCTTCAGCTCTGACCTGTTTTTTTGTTCAGCTGTGGTGGATTTTAACAAATGCCATAAGAAGCGCTATGAGGAGGCAAAGGAACATGATTTTTTGTTTCCACAGATTATCTGTCTCATGTACATACCGTCTGAATATAAGTAAGTAGTTAGTAAGGACACATGATTTCTATAATTTTCTGTCTAAGCATTTTAAAATCAATCTAGATACAATCTGTATCTGCCAAAAAACTGATTTGGGCTGGCAGCATGAACAAGGACAGAGAGAGCTCAACTGTGTACATATCTTTAAACAGCTAGAATTGATTTTTAATAAGAAATAATTATTTATAAAGAAAGCAACACTGTTTACCTTTCAAATTCAGCTTCTAAATTGTCCTTACTGCCTTACTTTCTTACTTTGGAGTCATTATTCTACACCAAAACTTTTGCCGCACTACACAATGGACTTTTTTCACTTTAGAATAACTTAAATACACTTAACAACCTCCCATTCTTGTTAATGACTGTTAGTGGGTTTCTGTCACTCACTATAAAATGCACATTAAATGTATTGTAAACTTACTTGAGAATCTCCAGTTTACAGTGTATACTCTGTAGACCAACAGCAAGCATCTGCACACCTGAATCCAGCAGGTCATTGTGATTCAGGTTCAGCTCTGTGAGATTACAGGATGCGGAGCTGAGGACTGAGGATGACAGACCGCTACAGGATTTCTCAGAGAGCTCACACCAACTCAGCCTGTAAAAACATTTCTAGGCATCTTTAATAAAGCTCCACTGAAGTCTCACCAATAAAAAAAGCAGTCTTTTGGCAAATATTTAGACATCATGGAAACTATGTTGTTCTCATGATAAGACAAACTCAATCACAGTACTATCACAGCACTAAGACACCAACAGTATCAGGTCATCCCACTGCAAAAAAGTGGATCCACTGATCAATTATCCCCCAATTTCTGAAATCTCTCTCTTTAAAAGATCCTGGAAACTCGCTTGACAGGCAACCATGTGCTGATCCAGAATATAACTCTCTAGCCACAGCAAATTTTTGACCTTCAGGGATAAATAAGGGGGTACCTCAAGGATCTGTGTTGGGTCCTTACTTATTAACAGTCTACACAAACAATATCACTCATTTCCTCAGCTCAAGTTACATCATGGTTATATTCTAGATTTAACATTCGTCAAACATCTGTTTAATCTCAAGACAAAATCTGTTTTATTATAAAAATGTCATTCACCTCCCTGCCACCCATATATTTATGGTAACAAAATTAAAATTGTTCAGTCATATAAATACCTGGGATTTTGGCAACAAACCAGTCTCACTTTTAAACAGCACATCAAGCAATTGGCATAAAAACTAAAGATAAAAATGGGTTTGGAAAATGACTGTATACAGATTCTGTGCCAACTAGGTCATTATTTAACAACTGAGCTTCCACTGGTAGGCTCACCCAACTGATGACAAGTTTCACCATGTGTATGGATAAAACATGGGCCCAACTTGTAGTCCCGTTAATCACATGACCAGACACACAAGGGGCCTAAATTAAGCAGATTTTTAGAGTCTTTGCAATTACTAAAACAAGACTTATTACAGCCCATTGTTAGCCGACTTGAGGCCCTCTTGGAAACTGCAACCCAGGTTTAGTTTGGAAATAAATAGATATACTTTGTATGTAGTGCACTGCAAGATAACAATCATATTTGTAATTATATATTATATTTATAAGAGAGCATTTAAAAGTACTTACAAAGCAATTTTGGAGACTTTGACCACCGGCAACATTCCAAGAAGAACTTTCTCTGATTTCAGGTACTTTTTTAGATCAAACACATCAAGCTTGTCATCTGATGTCAGCAGCACAAAAGTCAGAGCTGACCACTGGGAGGTAGAGAAATTTTCAAATGTGACGTTTTCTGAGCGCAGGTACGTTTTCACTTCCTCAACAAGAGAGTGGTCATTCAGCTCGTTCAGACAGTAGAAAAGATTGCAATTCTTATCAGCATCACTGTTCTCTTCTCTGATCTTTTCTTTGATGTACTGAATGGTGTCATCGTTGATTTCTTTATTGTTTTCTGTTTTCTTCAGCAGCTCTTGCAGTAGATTCTGATTTGTCTCCAGGGAGAGGCCTAGCAGGAAGCGGAGAAACAGATCCCAGTCTCCATTTTGGCTATCCAAAGCCTTATCCACCGCTGTCTTGTAGAAGTCTGCAGCAGGCAAGCCTTCAACTGGTGAAGCAGGCACGGTCAGCAGATTTTCACCTGTGTTGTTGAATGTGTGAAAGACATAAAAAGCTGCCAGGAACTCATGGATGCTCAGATGGACAAAGCAGAACAATTTCTGTTGGCGCGGCCCAGGGCCCTCTCGTGTGATCTGAGTGAATAATCCAGAGAAGACTGCAGCTTTTATGATGTCAACACCGCACTCAGTCAAGTTTTCCTCAGTGAAGACAAGGTTTCCTTCCTGTAGCCCTTCAAATGCCAGTTTCCCCAGAGACATGATTGTTTCCTTGTTCCTGGTATTCCAGCATGAATCTGTTTCAGAGCCGTCGCCTGTTTCATCCTCACCATACTTCACATTAGCCTGTCTGCATTGCAAGACAAGAAAGTAAATGTACATGTCAGTGAGAGTCTTGGGCATTCTTTCTTCTTGGTTTCTGTTCACAAAGTCCTCCAGAACGTTTGCTGTGATCCAGCAGAAGACAGGGATGTGACACATGATGTAAAGGCTCCTTGATTTCCTGACATGGGACACGATTTTCTCAACCATATCTTTATCACTGAATCTCCTCCTGAAGTACTCCTCCTTCTGCTCATCATTAAATCCTCGCACCTCTGTCACCCGGTCAACTTTATCAGCAGGAATATTGTTGGATGCTGCAGGTCGGGAGGTGATCCAGATTTGAGCTTCCGAAAGCAGATTTCCTTGAATGAGGTTTGTCAGCAGAACATTCACTGAGGTTGGCTTTCTCATGTCTGTCCAATTATTACTTTCATTGAAGTCAAGCCTGAGGCGACATTCATCGAGACCATCAAGGACAATCAGAATTCTGTACTTGTTATAGTCCGTTATTTCGGATGTCATCATAGCTGGACAAAACTGGTGAATGAGATCCTCCAAGCTGTGCTCTTGCTCTTTTCTCAAATTCAGCTCCCGGAAAGAAAGTGGAAACATATAAAATACATCCCCGTGGTCCTCATCCTCAGCCCAGTCCAGCATGTACTTCTTCGTAGCAAATGTTTTTCCGATGCCTGCCACTCCCAACGTTAGCACTGTTCTAATTTTTGGTTTATTTTCCCCAGACTGTTTGAAGATCTTGTTATATTTTATTGATGTTTCTTGTCCCTCTGGTTTGAACTTTGCACCTTGAACTAGTCTGATCTCATTCTGAACATTGACCTCTCCTCTCTCTCCCTCTATGATGTAGAGGTCTGTGTAGATTTCGTTTAGAAGAGCAGAGGTTTTCTGCATATCCATCCCCTCAGGAACATGGGTAAATTGCTCCTTCAGCTGAGATTTGAGCATGTGTTGACTTGCAACATCAGGCTTACCTGTAGGAAAATATGATTTTTAAGTTATGTTGGACAGAAATTAGACAATAGTTCAGATAAATTGCTTGAGGTGCAATCATAGTGCAGATCATCAAATGGAAACCATAACATCAAGAATTAAGTTGTTGTTTTGTAATTGCTTTGATTAGGTGCACACTGGCCAACTAAAACTGAAGCAGGGCTTGAAACACTTGAGAAACAGCCTAAAAGAGGCTGAATATGAGCAATGTGGTTTTATATTTTATTTTATTATTTTTTTTTATTTTATCCTTGGTTAAATTATAGGTGCTTGCTCCAATGACTGGAGGCAACTGGATGAATATGTAATAAAAAAAAATGTGTTATTAAAAACAGCTATGTTCCAAACCAATCCTAAGGATTGGAACTGAGGCTGTTCCGTAAATATTTTAATGGACTTTTGTCAATCAACTTCCAAACATTTCTTTACTGTACTCTTCTTTATGGCAGCCTACAGTGCCAGAATTAGCTGCATACCCAAAGAAAAAATTACAGTATGTGAATGTGAAAATTTCTTCAGCTACTCCACTGTGAGTTTGACAGTGAGGTTCGCAAAATGCGTATATTCGCTAAGGATCAGGATCTCAGTTTTCATTCCATGGTAGTTTTGAGCCTTTTTGCTGCTACATGGCCACTGTTTTATTTTGACTAAGACCTTTCAGATGTGTTGGGTTTGATTGCACCCCTATTTCTTCAGTTTCCATTAACAGCCTTCATCCCCACCCATAAGCTTACATCGTATTTCTGTCATCCTGTTGACAGGTGCATCAGGCAGCTTCTTTCGGGAGGTCATCCAGAGCTGGGCAGAAGGAAGCAGGTCTCCTCTGATGAGGTTTGTCAGTAGCACATTCACTGAAGCTGGCTCTCTGACATCAGTCAAGGTCTTCTTGTTGTCAAAGTGAAGAGGAGGCTGATACGCATCCAGTCCATCCAAAACAAATAAAACTTTGAGATGTTCAAAGTTAGAGATCACAAATTCTTTGGTTTCCTTGAAGAAATGATTAAGAAGTCCCATCAAACTGACTTTTTCTTCTTTTATCAAACTAAGCTTAGAGATGTGAAGTGGAAATACAACTGCCTCTTCTTCTTTTCCATATATCCTTGCCTTTGCTGCACCTAGCAACCAAGTTAAAATTGACTTATTGTCATTTCTGGCCCACTCTTTTATGAATTTCTGCACATGGAAAGATTTCCCAATCCCAGCTTTTCCAGTGGTCAGCACAGTTCTGATCTTTTGTCCTTTTCCGTCTTTGAAGATATCAGATACTGAGTTCACTTGGATCACTGACTTTGCCGCAGGACATCCATTTTTCTCTTCATCATTGACCTCACCACTTCTGTCTTCTCTAATGATGTGTTCTGTGTTTTTCTGGTTAGGATGATTTAAGTCTTCATCTTGAGTGATTTCTTTAAGAAATCTTTCTCTCAATGCTGACACCAGCTTCTGCCGTCGCTTTGAGGTCTCTGAAACAACAATAAAGTCACTGATGATGGACAGAAGCAGCATGAATCAGTTATCTTTCAGTATCATAACAGTGATTGTTTTGAACATAGACACACATATAAATCATTTATATTACAACACAGTTGTAACAGATAGTCACACATTTTAAGGTAAACTATCTTTTAAAATAGTCACTTTTGTTGTGACACATTGGTTCTCAATGAGAGGAAGTGAATAGAGTTTATAAAATATTTTCTTGTTTGCAGCTTTGCTGTATTATCTGACCAAATTTCCCAGTTTAAGAAAAACATTAAAACATGAAGCAGATTAATACAGAGTATGAGCTATGAAAATCTGTTTCCTACCTCGACATTCTGTCACTTTGTTAATATATTCAGGAGGAATCTTATCAACTCCTGAGGGTTGAGAGATGATCCAGAGACGAGCAGTGGGAAGCAGTTTCCCCTTGATGAGGTTTGTTAGCAACACATCCATCGTGGCTGGCTTTTCCATATCGGTCATCTCTTTGTTGTTTGCAAAATCCAGAGGGAGTTCGCATTTTTCCAAGCCATCAAGGACAAAAGCTACTTTACATTTGTCATACTTGTAAACTCCTTGTTCATCATTGATGGAATGACGCAGCAGATCTTTCATGGCTTGAACTTTGTCTCTTTTTGAATTCAGCTCACTGAAGTTCAATGACACTATCAAATCTATCTCTTTGTTGGAGTTTCCTTTTGCCCAGTCCACCATAAACAAACTTGTTTGAAATGTTTTACCAATGCCAGCCACTCCTTTCATTAGTACTGTTCTTACTTTCTTTTTCTTTACACCAGAAAATAATTTCTTAAAGGTTTGTGCTTTAGCTTCCTCGCTTTTGTCAGCTTGTATCTTGTAGATTTCTGTGTCGGTGTCCGGTCTAAGTTTCTCTTCATGCTGAGTGAGGATTCTCTTCTTCAGGTCTGCTGTGAGTTTGTCTTTGACTTCTTTGTCTAAAGAAATGATAAAGCACACACACACACACACACACACACACGGATGGATGGATGGATGGATGGGTGGGTAGGTAGGTAGGTAGGTAGGTGTGTGTGTGTGTGTGTGTGTTCCTTGTTCCAGTACCTTGCTTCATTTTCTTGGAGGCACTGCTTGGATAGAAAAAAGACACATTTACTGTGACAAATAATAATGTTTTGTATACTACACACTACTATATACACTTGTGTTTGAGATGAAATGCATCTCTTGTGCTTCACCTTTACACTACATAATTTTGGCATAGCATTACTTTGTCTTTTTATCTGTTATAGGTGTAACAATATTTATGCACATGTTTTCCTACCTTGACTCAGGCATGAAGTTGAGGGGATCATCCTCAGAATTGTTGCTGGGTGCAGGAGAGACAGGATCATTTCAGTGATTTCACAAAAACAAACATTTTAAATGTGTGACATTATTGTTGAGCTTCAAGGTGGGAAGTAATTATCTTACTACTCTGACTTGTCGTTCTCTTTAATAGAGTTTCTCTCTGTCTTTGACTCACTCAAGCCTCATTCCCACCGTATGGTACAGCTCAGCTCAACCCCGTTCGACTAGCTTTTGGTATCAAGCGGTGTTGTAACCAAGACCACTTGAATTGAGAGTCATGACCAAGACAAGTAGAACTAACTGCGGTGAGACAGCCACTCAACCTTGCAGCATATATTTCCCAGTGGTCACTCATGGTACTTCAGCGAAAAAATCCCCTGCTGCCCATGGAAGTAAACCCAAAAGCTAGAAAACTTTTTTGGCGTGTGCTGCAGGTGAGCTACTCCATTGGAATTAATAGGCACCATTGTGGCACCCAGTATCTAAATTAGTTTTTATTAAAATGTATGGCTGCGGCCTGCAGTAAGGCAAAGCTGAACAATCCAGCCCCGCACACATCCAGTGGGTCACTAATACTGCATTTATAATAAATGGGAATTTCAAAAGCTTGTCAATGTCTTTGTATTTAACTTGCTGCATTCGTGACAATCCCAAAGTGTAAGATTTAATTCATTATGTTCTTTATAACTTACACAAATGATATATACATTTCTCAACTGTCAGAAAATATGCATACCATTTTCAATGCTTTGTCAATCTTTCCAATATAGTATCTCTGGTTGTTTAATATGAGTTTTGCATCAGCGTGATGAAGTAATTTAATCTATAAAGTATTTCATTTTTTGGAGTAGCCAAAAACAGGCATGCATATCTGGCTGCTCTGGGTTTTCTTTTTTTTTTTCATAAAATGTATTATATCACAAATGTAAAAGTATATTGATAAAGTCCTTAAAATGTTCAGGACAGTTGCTGTGCAGCACTTGCAGGACACACAATGTAAACAAAAAACCCACTGAATGCTAAATAAGTTGTTTACCTCTGGGAACCATTTGTCGTGAGGAGGAAAAAATAGAATAGCAGTAGAAGAATCTGGTTTGATTTACCTTCAAAATGTAATTCCATATTTCAGTTTTGGTGTGACAGGGTCACAAATATGTTAATGCATGTTGCATGTTTTATTTGAATTTCAATTTCTTATGTGAATGAATTATTTTGTTATTGTTTAATCCTTTGGGTTTGCTTTTAATGTATTTATTGAGGTGTCTGTTTTAAATATTGGACTCTGCATAGATAAACTGAACTGTGCAATGTATTATTGATGAACTTTTGAAGACCTGTGTGAGTTGTGGGTTAGTTATAATCAAGTAGGCTACTGTATACACCACTATTTTAAAATGATCATCTTTGATAACTGAGAGTTTTATATTTCATGTAAATATTTTAGTTATAACAGCTAAATGCACTTGACTGAACTTTGAACTAATGTTTGGTGTGATATTGATGATCTTATTGAAGTCCTGTGAAAGTTATTGGTTAGTTATAGTAAAGTAGACAAGTTAGACAGTTTTTTTTTTGTTGTTGTTGTTTTTGTTTTTGTTTTTGAATAACGCATATAATGTGAGAATCTGTTGGTGCCCAGATATTTAACAGGATTTATTCTGGCCCCTATTCAAAAAAGTTTGGACCTTGTTTATATATATTATACCATGAATAATATATATAATACGTAATATGTTTATATTATACCTCACTGTTTCGATGTTTTCCCTATAAGCTCAATTCATGTGAATGTCTTCTAGCAAGAACTGAGCTCCACTTGTTTACATAAACTCAAATGTCAATATCACCACGATCCTACAATGAACCTCTTTATCTTAGATTTGGCATACATGGTAAAAATTGAGCCCGTTTCTGATCATAATTACAAGTGGACCAAATTTCAGCGTTGTTGTGCATTGTTTGCCGTGATACAAATCATGACCCAATAAAATGCTGCTTGATAAACTAATCCAAAGGCATTGCAGAGGTGAATTCAATATTTGGGATTTTTCCTTTGTCTTCTACAAGTTAACAAAAACTTGAAATACAATTCCAAGTCCTCTTTCCCTGAGATAGACAAGACCAAGTAAAAATGTGGTCAAATCCTGGACAAGACTAGCCTGGAAATCCAGACCCAAATCTAGAAAGATTTAGGGTCTGGCTATGAGTACTGAAAATGGCCCAACTCGAGGGGCAGCACCAAGCATGCATTTGAAAATATCACTGCACTCAATTAGATAACACTACGACCAATCAGAACAATACGTATGACGTATTGAGGGGTGACATATACGCTTAGCTACCAGCGGAGCTAACTGGTAGATTAGACTCTTGCCGTATCCGTCTAACTCGTTCATTGTAGCAGACAAAGCCGTTTCAAACAACTGGTGTTCATCCGTAGCCATCTTGCAATGTTTACTGACTGATTCTGGACTTCGTCGTCGCAGCGCTGTCGTCATATGTTTAGCCCGCCTCTGGCCCGCCTATATCAGATACACCGATGTGATTGTTGCAGCTCGGCTCCAATGGCATGGGTAATGAGCATCATTACTGATTGCCAGAGTGACTCGCTGAGCAAATTCAAATTGTGCTCTCGCGAGAACTCTGAATTTCCAGGGTAGGACAAGACTGAAACCTTCGAAAAGTGGCCTCAGTACTTCAACGCTGCTATCCATAACTTTTGCCAGATGGAAAACTAAAAAGGACTAGTAGTAGTCAAGAACTAGTGAGTAGAGCTGTACCATGCAGCGGAAAAGAGGCAAAACATCCAACATAACCAAAATGTCCTACCCCAGTTCTCCTTCACTTTCCATTGAAACATTGCTGGATACCGGGGAAACTGGTCTCTTTTCCTCAAGCGGCCTTTAAAACACATTTAATATTCTTTTGCATTGCCAAACAATAAAACTTGTAATAAGTTCACAATATTTTTTAACTTCAAGATGAAATTTGCAGTGTATTTTCTCCTTGTCTCTGAATCTCTCTTTATGAAAACACCAACATAACCAAAATGCCTTACCCCAGTTCTCCTTTACTGAAGCTTGGAGGTTCACCCTTGGACCTGTCACTTTTCATGGAAGCATTGCTGGGTGCAGGAGAACCTTGTCTATCATCCTCACGTGGCCTTTAAAACACAGTTAATATGCTTTTGCATTGCCAAACAATAACACTTGTAATATCTTCACAATATTCTTGAACAAGATGACATTTGCAGTGTATTTTCTCCTTGTCTCTGAATCTCTCTCTCTGAAACCATGAGCATATCCAAAATATCTTACCGTGGTTCCTCTTCTCTGAAGCTGGGAGGTTCACCCTTGGACCTGTCACTTCTCATGGAAACATCACTGGGTGCAGGAGATACTGGTCTTTTTGGCTCAAGCAGTCTTTAATACAGATTACAGTTACACACTTTAACATTTATTAGATCTTTAACAACTGTATCTTTACATTACTATTGGGCTTCAAGTTGTAATTTACAGTATATGTCATTATACGTCAGTCTCTCTTTTCAATTATTTTATCAGTCTTAGAAGGCACCAACATAACCAAAATATCTTACCCCAGTTCCCCTTTACTGAAGCTTGGAGGTTCACCCTTGGACCAGTCACTTTTCATGGAAACATTGCTGGGTGCAGGAGATACTGGTCTTTTTGGCTCAAGGCATCTACAGATTACAATCACGCACTTTAACACTTTTAACATCTTTAATATCTCCATCTTTACACTATTATTGAGCTTCAAGTTGTAACTTACAGTATTTGTCTTTCTATGTCACTTAGTCCTGGAAATAACCTCACCCAGTGCATCAATGATGTTAGGTGCTGGATGACCAAAAACTTCTTACAACTTAATGATGACAAAACTGAAATTCGTTGGTCCAAAAGCTTTAAGGCAGCAGATTAGTTCCCTACTGACTCCTCTTTCTGTGAAACCTAGTGAGCATGTCAAGAATCTAGGTGTTATTATTCTGAACTACTAACGCAAGTTCCCTGCTGGCGCAAGCTCTGCTGCGACGGCTCAGTCGGTGCTCTTACTGTTTGTATAGTTTACGTTTGTTATTTTTGTCTTTTGTGTAAAACAAACCATACCAAGGCTGCATCATGAACAGGACAATATATATTTGGATTATTGTCATCATCCTATGGATTATCAGTGATTGTGCTGTTTGGAGCGCCAACTACAACAACGGAGAAGCTGAGCATGGACTCACCTACTCCCGGGAAAGCCTCCTACTCCTGCAGAACTCCATCCACTGTTCACTGAATCCAGACACCGTAATACCATCTGAGATCAGAGCCAGTCTGAAGAGGAAAAGAGGTAGGCAAGGAGGGGTCCGCTGCAGACTCAGGCGGCGTCCCTACAGACCTCCACTACCCTCCATCATTCTCGCCAATGTCCGCTCTTTGAGAAACAAAATGGATTTGCTACACGCTAAGTGCCTTATGGGCTCCTCTTTTAGGGAGGCGTGTGTCCTTGCTCTGTGCGAGACATGGCTGGACGGCTCTTTCCCAGACAGTGAGGTTAGCCTTGATGGCTTCAGGATCATACGGGCCAACAGATCTGAACACTCAGGGAAAGTTAGGGGCAGGGGTGTGTGTATGTTTGTCAACTCTTGCTGGTGTACTAACATCAAGATACACAGTACGATCTGCAACCCAGACCTGGAGTTGCTCACCCTGTCAGCCCGAGCTTTCTATCTCCCCAGTGAGTTCTCGACTGTTGTGTTTACTTGTGTGTATGTTCCACCAAGCGCCAACGTGAAGGCAGCAGCCGAGCAAATAGCGCAAAACGCACACGCTATGCTTAGCAGGTATCTACTTCCTGTTTACAAGCAGCAGCTGAAACAACACAGACCAGTGACGCGCAGCACACCCCAGTGGACAGAGGACACCATTGCACGTCTCCAAGGCTGCTTTGCATGTACCGACTGGGAAGTCTTTGAGGGAGAGCTGGAGGAGCAAACTTCAGTCATCACAAGCTACATCAAATTCTGTATAGATACCCTGATACCAGTAAAGACTATAAAAACTGATCCCAATTCAAAACCTTGGATCACTCCAAAAATCCAACACCTGTTCAAAAAGAAGAATGATGCCTTCAGACAACAGAACTCCACAGCACTTAAGATTATTAATCAGGACATTAAAAATGAGATAATCAAGGCTAAGTTAAATTATAAACTCAAACTGGAACAGGAATTTGCAAATATGAACACAAAACAGGCCTTTCAGCGAGTCAGAACTCTCACAGGACAAGCCACCAAGCAGACCACCTGCGCATCAGAACCCATAACCTTTGCTAACGACCTTAATCATTTTTATGCCAGATTTGACACATCTGATTTTTCAGCAGAGTGTGCCAGCCCCACCAGGAGTTGGACTACGAGACCCTCCTGACAGACCGGGATGTCCATCTCCAGCTCACCAAGTACAAACCAAACAAGGCTCCTGGGCTGGATGGCATTCTAGGTCGGGTTCTGAAAAGCTGTGCCCTGGAATTAACCTCCGTCCTCCACTCCCTCTTCATCCGATCCCTCTGTACCTCCACAGTCTCAGGTATATGGAAAACATCAACCGTCATCCGTGTTCCAAAGAAGTCCCACCCATCAGAGCCAAATCACTACAGGCCTGTGTGTCTCACCTCCATCATAATGAAATGTTTTGAGAAATTGGTTCAAATTATCATCCTGCCATATGTTGTCCCCACAGCTAGACCCCCACCAGTTCGCATACAAACAAAGGAGAGGTATAGACGATGCAGTGGCCACTCTCCTGCACCATCTGCTTCAACACCTGGACTCCCCCCATAACTACGCCAGACTACTCCTCGTTGATTTGAGTTCTGCCTTTAATACAATACAACGCCACCAGATGATCCAGAAACTACAGTGCCTCCACGTTCCATCTCCACTAATACACTGGATCCACAGCTTCCTCTCCGACAGACCCCAGGCAATGAGGGTCGGCCAGTCCCTGTCCTCCACCATCACGCTCAATACTGGTGCTCCGCAGGGGTGCGTGCTCAGCCCATTCCTCTACACCCTCTACATGAATGACTGTCAGAGTCCTTCCCCCACCACATTTTATTTTAAATATGCAGATGACACGGCCATTCTTGCATTGCTGAACAATAACAACTCCTTCGCTGCCTACCAACATTCCATTTCCCATTTCAGCAGATGGTGCGACAATATCTCCCCCTCAACATCTCCAAAACCAAAGAACTGACTATCAGCCCTCCCAAAACCCTGGCCCCCCTTCCCAGTCTCCCAGTGTCTTCATCATCGGGGAGAAGGTGGGGGAGGTGGAGTCTTCCAAATATCTCGGCATCACACTGGACAATAACCTCAGCTTCAATCAACACACCACGGACATTTATAAACACTGCCAACAGAGACTCACGGCTATACGCAAACTCCGACACCTGTCTGTTCAACCCCAACTCCTCCTTCTGTACTGCAGCATTGTTGAGCCGGTTCTGTTGTATGGTGCCATCTGCTTCTTCCCCATGCTCATGGTTGTTAATAGAAACAAAATGTATGAATAGCATCTGTCTGACAGTGTTCCAGCCTGTGGTGTGTTTGTATGTCTATGTAATTGTTAACGTCATGTAACCCCCATTTGTCTGTTGATGTTTTTGCACTGACTGTAAAAAGAATTTCCTTGCAAAGGACTAAATAAACTAAACTAAAACATTATTGACACTGATCTTAATTTTCAGAAGCATATTTCCTCCATATCCAAGACTGCATTCTATCATCTTAGAAACATAACTAAAGTTAGATCATTTATATCCCTCTCAGATGCTGAAACGTTGGTGCATGCTTTCATTTCAAGCAGGCTGGACTACTGTAATGGACTTTTTGCAGGAATAACAAAACAGGCACTTTGCAGGCTCCAGCTTGTTCAGAATGCTGCAGCTAGAGTGATAACCAGGACCAAAAAATATGAGCACATCACTCCCATTTTAATTTCTCTTCACTGGCTTCCCGTGAAGCAAAGAATTGATTTTAAGATTTTGCTTATTGTTTTTAAAGCTATGAATGGTGTAGCTCCACCTTATATCAGTGACATGCTAGCTGAGTACACACGCCAGATAGATTCCTGCAATCTGGAAGTAGAGGCCTTTTCACTATTCCAAGAATATATTCTAGATCAGCTCATGGTGCTTTTAGTCACTATGGTCCGATTCTTTGGAATTCCTTACCACAAGACTGCAGGTCTATTACATCAACATCCACTTTTAAACGCAGGTTAAAAACACATCTTTTTTCACAAGATTTTACTTAGACGTGTGTGTGGTACAAACCAGCTGTACCATTATTTTTGTATTATTGTTAATATCATGTTTCTACCCTTGTATTATGCAATGTCGTTGTTGTTATGTGTTTGTTTTTATAAGTATGTTGTGTTTATTTTAAGCACATTGAGCTATGCTTGTCATATGAAATGTGCTATACAGATAAATTTGACTTGACTTGACTATGTCAGTCTCTCTTTTAAATTATTTTATCTGCTTATGAAAGCACCAACATAATCAGAATGTCTTACCCCAGTTTTCCTTTACTGAAGCTGGGAGGTTCACCCTTGGACCAGTCACTTTTCATGGAAGCATTGCTGGGTGCAGGAGAAACTGGTCTTTTTGGCTCAAGCCATCTTTAACAAAGATTACAAATACAAACTTTAACACTGTCACATACATCCCCTCTGTCCCCATCTTCAGTCACATTCCCACATCAAGACCATTAACTGCCATGCCCTACCTGTCCACTAACTGTTACCACCTGTATCTGCCTGTTACCTACAGCATAATTCGGTTTTCTTGATGCCTGGAAGTTTCACTATAAATCACTGAAATGCCCTGGCTGTCTGCATTTGGGTCCTTCCCTTGTTGCCTCTCTCCCTTACTGCACCATGACAGAACGACCTGACCAGCCATGCAGCAGACGAGCAATTTTATGTGGTGGAATGAGCATGCAACAGACAAGATATTATAAAGTGTAGTCTAGGCTTTTAGATAATGTGATTTCTTTCTCATGACACTGAAATCACTATACTTCCCTAGATAGGATGATATGACGCAAAATACATTATTCACTTATGGCAGATAGTAAAATGGCATTTTTGTGAACGCTCCATTTCTGAAAATGATCAGGGCCAAACACTGTACAGGTGTACAAAGTTTCATGCTTTTATGAAAGAAACAAAACATTTACTTACTTGCCAGTTGATGTGGCCTCAACCTGTTCCTGAGACATGTTGGTTTTAGAGGCAGATTGATCTGTTTTCTGCTCTCCACTGAGGCTGAAGACAGTAGTTCTATCTTCTTCCTTTGTTACAGAATTGCATTATTTCCAGCTACTTGTCTTTCTTTAGCAGAGTTTCCCAGCTGTAGTCGCATATGCTTTTTAGATAGGTTTTAAGGCAGTCTCCCCTCGCACTGACTCTTGTTCCATCAACCAGAGCAGAATTTCCTTCAAAAATATAAAAACTCATTCAGTTCTGACTTACAGATAACAGCAACACCAGATAAAAGTCTACGAGTATGATTTTATGACTTCCTCTCAAGTTACTGCCGTAGGGCAAAGTCAGTGGTTAATGATTAATAACATCAATGATATGACTGTAAAATGTGGACATTCCCCTTGATATGCAAGTACACAGCAAATATGGTGTGATAATGATTACAATGAAATGCCGGACCTACAATACCGCAAAGTTTTTTAATTTTCATTTCTCTTTGTGAATAATACAGTAATTATTCTTCTTCTTTCTTCATAGAGAGTAATGTAGGCACATGACACCTGCCAAAACATCTAGCCCTTCCTACAGCTAAATTCAATGCTATGTACATGTAAATGATAGGCATGTGACTATAAATACAAGTACAAAAGAAATAAGCACCACAAAGGTAAACACAAAGGAATGTGAGCACATCCTCAGACATCATCAGGTAATTATCACTAATCCAAAATGTATAGATATGAATGAATGAATAATCTTTATTTTGGTTACATACATCTGGAAAAACAAATATTATTATTATTATTATTATTATTATTATGGGCAATTTGTATGCAAGCACGAGGCCACCATGTAGGACATAAAGGCTGACAGCTTGTCCAATCTAAAGAAACAAGCAGGCCAATATGATAGCAAGATACCAGATTGTACACACATTAAAGTACACAATTAAGTACACAAGTTGCATCAGTCTTACCAGTACAGGTGCAGTTAAAATCCTTCAGCTGTTTCTAATTCACACATCTGTTTTCCTCAGTGCAGGCTGCACACTTGTAAAGGCAGAGCGGACAGCTACACCTTTACTTTCGTTTTCAGTCAGCAGTAAATGCCTCTCCCCCCTCAGAGCTACTGAGCTTACCTGATGATAATATACGGAAATAAGTCATTAATGCATATGAGATATACAGGTGTATGAGCATGCAGCTTGTGCTTTATTTATTATTTTTTATTTCCTTATATGTGTCATTGTTTACACCCTGTGAAGTATTTTGTAACTTCTGTTTTAAGACTCCTTGACCAATCACAAGTTGTGTTACTGGGAGGTGACCATGCAGCTAAACCATGGGGGATGACAATGTCACTCTGTTGGGTGGACAGATGGTTTACCACTTTACTCCAAACTGAAGTAACCACGAGATGATTTGTGGGTCTGAGTGACATTTCAAGCCAGCTACTGGATAAACTGACATGTAATTTTGACATTCATGGGCCCCCTCAGGATGGATTATGATAACCCTGGTTATCCTTTGACCTTTCTTCCAACACTAACATCACTAATTTGCCCGGTACTTTGGTTTAAAAGCAAATGCATGTAAAACTGATGACATTCCCATCAACCTCAGCTGTACTTCTTCTTTTACTGTTTAGTGCTAATTAATACGCCAACATGCTTAAATAAATGGTGAACATGGTCAACATTAGGCTGCACCTACACCATGTTGTTAGCATGTTAGCATTGTCAATGTGGGCAGGTTAGCATGATGATGTTTACAAATATAGCCTCACAGAGCCACTACTGCTTATGACTGTTATGCCTCGTTTCCACTTACCTATGTGTATGAAGACAAGGCAACCCGAAGTCCATTGTGCCTGCGGAACTCCTCCCCTTCATAATATTTCTGTATTGAATTTGCCGCAAGTACATAAAAAAATCTAAGTCTTGCAGTGAATTTTAAAGAGATAGTGTGTTAACTTTGCTATCTGGCTGGTTACTAGCTAACAGGCTATATCTTAAGGGGGATACTTATGCGGCAGACCCTCCGCCATAGCCTACGCACATCGCCTACGCACATCGCCTACGCACATCGCCTACACCGTTGTGAACATTTATACTCATGCAGTGGTGTGTCCGTGTCACTCTGCAGTTACACCTCCAAGACATGAGTTGGCGGCGGGGTTTCTGTGAAGTGTAGTCGATTCAAAACACACCCAAAACACACTTTAAACATGGCTTAATAGAGACAATTTCAAACACAAGTACACAAATCGGCTTCACTATAACTCACAGCATTCACAGACAAAGCATTTGTCTTTTACTGAACACAAATACAACATGCTAATGTTTTTAGCACAAGCCTTTGGCATTTTACATTGTATAAATTAGCCTAGCAGCTACGTCACAAAAAGGCTACAGCTCCGTTACAACTGACAAGATTCACTAACAAAACAATTGTCTTAAACTAAACATGTTTTCCAAACAAATACAACATGCTAATGTTATTAGCACAAGCCTATTGAATATTGCATTGCATAATTTAGTCTAGCGACAAGTGGAGATTTCCTCTACTCATATGAAACTAGGATAAATCGCGAAGTATAAATCCCCAAAGGATAAATCACACACAAGACTTAAAATACTAATATATGGGTACGGCGAAGGCTCTACGTTAAGGCAGAGCCTACAGCACAGATACGGCATTGATTTGACACCGAAGTATAAATTCCACCTTACAACTTTCAGTTGCTGGTGTTGATTGTCAACTTGTTTATCTAGTTTCAACCCATTGTGAATCTGAGTAATGTTATTCTGTTAAAATGTGGTAATACATTATATAGCCTACAGTCAGATTGTCATTATGACTCGTTCAGCTGATCATACATCTTTTTAATTGAATATTTCACAAAATGTGCCACGTATCTAGCAGGTCCTGTTTTTGTCCTGGTCATTACTACTGGATGGCGAAAAATGGATAAAATTAGCCTCTCCCCCACAGCTACAGGTAGTTTGTATCACGTTTCTATCCATCCGTAAAGAAATGCACTTCCTTGCATTGGACACTAGAGGCATCATCGGTATACGGGTCTACAGACACCAGTCACGTACGTAAGTGGAGAAGAGGTGTAAGTCTCTGTCTCTCCATCATGTCTCCTGCCTTTTTCTTTTCAGACTAAATTTCAAAATTTTTAAGGTTTGCCAGGTTTCTTAACCTGTCTCCTTTTAAAGAGCAGATTGCTTTGGAAGACATGCAGCAGTTCAGAAATCCCACTCTTCTGGTATTACCAGGAAAGATGCATTGTACGTGTGCCTGTTTATGTATTTAGTGGGTCAACGTGCAGCCTTCACAAGCGCTATGATCCATAGTGTTTCCACATCAGTGATACAGCCAAATACTTCCTGAAACCAGAGTGGTTTATTTTTGACTATGACATACTGACCTTGAAAGCTCTCTGGTACTCACTCTGTGCATTAATAATCTAATATGGCCCAACCAATGTTGTGGTAGTTCATGGGCTGCACATATTCACAGACGCATAAACACAAATCATGTACTTGCACATAAAGGGACACACACTTTTTACACAGTATTTTGGGATGAAAGCATTTGACTGTTCCACTTCATCAATATCCAATGATTTGATTGAACTGCCTCTGGGCCACACACAATATTTTAAAATATTTCTTACATATTTTTTAAATAAATAAAAAAATGAGAGTGAAGTGAAAGAAGCACACATGCAAGTTCATGCAGAGAGATTTTAAAGGAGTTTAAGCACAGCAATAGTGACACTGTTCGGTTAAATGTAAGGTGCTTTATGCTTTTTTGAGTTTCAGTGCCCAGACAGACCATAAAGCAGTTATTGATTGATGGTAAGGTAACACAGCACTGCAACCTAGTTGTGCCATCCACTTCTGAGTCCTGTCTCATGCAAACCATAGGTGGTGTATAATTCAACAGATCAGTGATATTTAAAATTGGATGGTATGATACAGCTAAAAAGAAGTATTGGGGATAACATGATACAAAAGTGACGCGTTACAGTTATATATTATATTTTAGCAGTAACAAAATAATATAACGTATTACCACCGGGATTTTGGGTAATATTATTAGATTTAAAGTGAAATAAACTGTATATTGTTTTAATTGTTCATTAATCCACACTGATCCACTTCCATCAGTGTGCTACCAGGAAAAAAAAGGGTTGTTGTGTGTTGTCATGTCATTTTACACTACATTATAGGAGGGTGCTGGTGATTGGCCCATCTGGGTCATGCCTACTGTGCGTTATCATGTTCACTGTGTTTCCATTAATATACCTGCAACATCTAGGCTGTTTCAATGCAGCAGGGATAAAAAAAATGGCCTGCGGTTTGTTTTTTCCTCATCCCAGTGATCAGCACTTCTGGGTAATGTTAGTATATATTGGATGTGTTTCCATTCACAGCCCCTATAACTGCAGAGCAACACCATCCTGTCCTTATGCATAACTTTCTGTTTGGTGCTGCTGTAGCTGCCCAGCACACCGGGAACCAGCAGGTGTGTCTTTCAGCTCCGAGTCATATCATCCAGATCATAGTGACTTAATCGCACAACATTCTGTTTGTCGTGCTAACCTCAGTATTTGCTTATTGTGTTTCATATCAGAGGCCTTCATTGGCTTTGTTATATTATGACTGCACACAGAGAATAATATTGTAAAGTAAAGTAACTTATTACTTTCAAATGAAGGTAACTATAATAACTAATAAATGAAGGTATTACTACATTTTGAGAGTAACTTGCCCAACACTGCTAAAAACATATCCTCCTCCATTTTGGGCTCCCTGGTTTTCTCAGTTTCCTCAAAGATCAGCATTTTTAAAGCAGTTTGCAACTGGTCAAACTGGCCTGCCAAAGATCCTCAAAACTGAACTGATCATGAAAGCAGCACAACATTTACTGTAGATCCACAAGCAATTCTAATGTGCTGTGTCCAGTGAAATGAGTTGATTTGGTTCATATTTTGTTTCTTCAAAAGGCTGTTTGAGGGTTAAGACTTGGTTTTGGTTTAAGGTTCCCATTATGTTCGGATCAAGCTTAGGCTAAATGCTGGTAATGGGTGTGCAGTGATGGTTCAGGATGTGGCTTAGGGGCTAAGGGAATGCTGTCAGCAAAGGTCCTCACATGTATTGGCATACAAACAGACCTGCACTTTGTTTTGTCCTACAGCGTGTAAGCGTGTATGTGTAGGAGAGGCAGAGATTCACCGTGTGTGTGTGTGTGTGTGTGTGTGTGTGTGTGTGTGTGTGTGTGTATCAGAATAAAAGCATGGGACAAGGAAGGTAAATAATTGAGAAGACTCCCCATAGAAATGCAGGAATTTCGAACCTCTTCAATCTCACTCTGTCATGCATCGGCAGTCACGAGGTCCACATACACACAATGCAAACATACAAAATGACAGACACACACATGACCCTGCAGACCTGCACTTTGTTTTGTCCTACAGCGTGTATGTGTGGGAGAGGCAGAGATTCACCGTGTGTGTGTGTGTGTGTGTGTGTGTGTGTGTGTGATTGCACTGCCTTTAACTTGTGCACACATGGTCAGCACCTGTTCACTGCTCCCCTCCATGTCTTTTTATTACCCATGCAGGTCATTGAACCTTGAACCCTTATTACCCATCCACCCTGACTCACCCCTTCCTGACTCCACCTCTCGCCTCATCTCATCTGCTAACTATCCTCAACCTTCTGCCTACCACCCATGTAAGAGTAACTTTGTTTTGCACTTCCATGACGTTGACTCACGAGTGAGATATTAAAAGAAGAATGCGATGCAGAGGAGGCTGTGATATATTGACTTTTAGTTCCTATAATTGGGTCAAGCTCCAAATGCTCACACATTCCATAATAACAAGAACAAGACAGTGATTACAGTATATATCCATCTACCAGAATCTGCAGGTGGAGACAGCACCTGCAGGTTGGTGGCAGAGGCTGTAGGCAGAGGTTTTCAGATGGCATGTCATTCTTCAGAACTTTGAGGCAACAAAACAGTGGAAAATTGCTGGTGGAGGTTGTTGTTTGAGCATTTCTCTTCAGCTGTCTGCTGTCTGCAGGTGGAGGCTCGGGCAGCAGATGGTTGTTGTACCTTAAAAGTAGAATTTAAATCTGAAAGGGGCAGTGAGAGGCTATTGTTGTAGGGTAGAGCAGGACATTTAAGACTCTCTGAGTGAGTGTTTTGACTTGCCACAACAAACATCCGATTTTTTACTCGATTTTGACCAACTGGATCTGGATGAGCCATTTGAATTTGATGACCGCCCGTATTTATTTGAACACGGAGTACACAGACGTACGCGGACGCAGAGCTCATTGAAACTGAAGAGCAGACAAAGAGAGAAAGGGAGCAGCAACAAGCAGAGGAACATGTCCGAATCCAGCTAAAGGTAAACACAGACGTTCGTTTCTCCTTTCCGTTATGTTGTCGTATAATTATACTAACAATCCGAGCCTATCTGTGTGGAAAAATTGCACTTTTAGTGGATGTATTCTGATCATTATTTGGCACTGTCTGAGTGCCCTATTATTTGATACAGCGCATGCTCACGGGCTGCAGGCAGGTCAGCCCTAGCTTCGTACTGGAGAAATGTCATATATTGAACATCCTATCACTCATTTAGACAAAATCAGATCGGAAAATAGGGCCCAGGTTGGAAAAAACATTAGTTCCCCTTTAAGGACAGGACATCAAGGTCAGGTAATAAAGCAGGATACAGCCTAAGGTCCTTATAATGTTAGTTAGTATTATGTTTCAGTGCTGCATGTTACTACAAAACAATCTATTAAAATACCACAAAGTTCACATATCTGCTGGGAAACACTAAGTTCATGTACTTCAGAGTTGCACTAATGGTTACACTTAAATTCATGTATGGTGTTATACATTATTTTATGAGATACATAACAAAGATTAAATTATTTTCATCAGCAAGCCAGCCATTTTGTTTGTTTTTGCACATTTTATCATTATATTCATTTTTTTTTTAAATAAATAGATGAATTGATCCGATACTGTTTTGCCTGCAATGAATAAACAATATTGTAAAGTAAATTTTGATTCCTACTTAATATATTTTGTGTACCCTGTGACCCCCAAATAGGTGTAGGAAAGCAAATAAGAGGGGGAAAAAGTAGGCTATTTTAATTTTAACAGCCATTGAATATATTCAGTTGTAAACACCACTGAACTCATAGCACTGAAATATTTTACTTTGTAAACCATGTATCTGAATTTATTTGGTCTAAATGTACATCTTTTAAATTAAAATATGCAATTTCTTGATTTGCAATTTCAAAAGTGCTACTGCTCTGTCTGTCTCTGTGTCTGAACCTATTATCGTGACTGTGTACCGGAACACAGGACATTCATTGTTACTGTTAACTGGCAAAATGTGTCATCTTCAAAGACGCAAACCTGCCCACACGGACAGAGGTAACCGCAATCGTCTACAAAGAGAGGATTTGATACAGTAGATGTATGTGTCCATGAGGGAAATCACGTCTCTATAATCCCCTTGATCTGTTTTCACTCTCTGCTCTCCTCTTTCACTATGTCTTTATTTCTTTTTCCATCTCTGTGACTTCTTCCTCTGCCCATCTTCCTTTATTTTCTTTATTCTTTTGTCAGATTCTCCTTCCTGTGGGTAAAGTTTGGTTAATGAGTCGGTTGGGGGTCACAGCCTGTTGCACAAAGAAACATAAAATGCACACATATGTATGAATGCAGCTCCCTGCTGACTGACACATGGGATGCTAAATCACAAATGCACACACACATACAAAGGCCAAAATCTTCCAGTGGACGAGCTCTGCTCAGCAGAGTGTGACAAAAACACCAAAAACTCAAGCTCATACACTCACTGAATCTTTAAAAACATCAATCATCATATCACATATACCTGAGAGGGTTGATTGCCCACATTCATTTACCTCTGGTGGAATCAAACCACACAGGTAATTTCAGTTTTATTTGACGAGACAGGCGACTCATTTCTTAGGTCTCTGCCTTTATCTCATTACAGTGGGATTGGTATTGGGATTTGGGGATTGGGATTGATTTTATTAAATCAATAGTATGTAAAGGGATGATGACCTGGTTCTTAACTATCAGCAGTGTTTTGGGGATGGTTTCTTTGGTCTAAAAAAGTAGATCCAATGGAAACTGTTGAAACTGGCATATTGTTAATAAAAAGAGTCTGACACAGCACACATGATTTTATTTGAGTTTTGTTCTTAAGACAACATCAGAAAAATATGTGGTTATTTAGAGTTTATAAACAGGCATTGATTTCCCAAGGATGTTAATGAAAAAACTGAGCTCAGCAAATGTCATAGCCAACTGTAGATGAAGCTCAGGTAAAGAGACAGCAGATACAGATTGTCAGATATACACTCAGGCTGAGACGCCTGAACAGGAACTCATTGCAGAAATAGTGACAGAGAGAGAGAGAGACGGTTTTGGCATCAACATCTCTTCTGACTGACTGACCAACTGAGTCAGTCTGTAGAGAGGCAAAAATAGACATTTACACAGGTGCTGTATTTGAAAATAAAAAATGAGATATTTGTACTTTACTTGACTCTTTACTTTTCGTGCCACTTTATACATCTTACTCTACTACATCTATTTGACAGCTTAAGACTGCAGATTTTATATTTAGTAGGGCTGCCAAAATAATCTGTTATTTTCATTTAATTAATCACAGAAAAAATAACCCATGAAAATATTAACACTGATTAATCGTTCCATGGTGCCATTTCACCTTGTACATCATTGAAGGCCACAGTGGCTTTGTCATGATAGAGGCAGACGAGACGATGCTGCTTAGCCCTGTGAATGGAACACAAAAATCACCCAGAGGGAACTGTTATATATATGATAGAAGCACTATATTCTCTGCAATTTCTGTAGTAAGGAATGTACATATATCATTGGAGTACTTAAAGCCTGAAATATCACCTCAACACAAAGCATTTCGCAGCAAACCCAGGGGTCCGAGCTAGCACAGCCTCTGATGCTCGTGCTAGCCACAGCCTAGTCAAGCCACACTCAACCAGGCGTTCAGACACAAACTGAGTAAGTCTACCAGTGACCAACTAACTAACTGCCTTGCAAAAAGGATTGCAATGGATTGCAGGCCAATATCAGTGGTAGAGGACAGGGGGACAATTGTGTCCAAAATCCAGCAGCTTTACGACAACACATTTGCCAAAATTCATTTGAATTGAATTTTTTTTAAATACTTCACAGCAAAAATTGATGTATGTGATTATTTTAGATTCATTAATCACAAAGCATTTAATTAATTTCTTTTTTTTTTTTAATTGCTTGACAGCCCTAATTTTAAGGTGATTTTGTACAATTCATTGGTCAAAAACAAGCACTGACAGCATGATTTTAATATTTTGTGTACTTTTTTTCCTGATTATACCTTCATACTTTTACAGTATCTATGTAACAATCTCAATGCAGGCCTTTTAATTGTAACACAAAAAATACGCCATATATGATATGGCGCGTCTTACAATTGCGTATAAAGAAAAGGATCTGAATACTCCACCACTGAAAAACAGTAACTGTCATATTTACACTCTTAACATTTGACAGTTAATTATCTATAACATTTCAACCTTACTTTTAAATCTCAATCTCTTACCAGATTATGTCCTACACATCTGTTGCTTATAAAAAAGTAACTTTATTAATAAAATGAGCAAACATGAGTTTCAGATCATCTGCTGAACAAACTAACTGGACAGATTCACAGCCACGATGCTGACAGCACTGAGCTTATCAGAGAGCTCAACTCCATGTTGTGCTGTGAAATATGGTATTTTTCTGCTCTTGCCCTGACTCTGAGGTGAGAGAGGGGTTTAAAGGATTAAGAATGATGAATGACCATGGATTTAAGAGGGGAAGACTCAACTTTAGCCAGACTTGTGTTTTTATCGTGTTTGAACTGTTCAGTCCAGATTGATCAGCGTGAGGTGCAGCCCACACTCACCAGAGAGGAAACAAGTGAGTGATTTGTTTTCACTGATGTGTACAGGTTTCTAGAAATCACACGTGAGTAACTGGGAATGAAGCATTTACAAAAATTTAGCAAGCATACAAACATGATTTATATTTGAGTTTTACGCAGCTATCAAAGTAATACACTTCAACTGGCAAGCAGCAACATGAATGAAAAAACAGTGCATCTTAAGATCAGGAAAAGTGTGTGTGTGTGTGTGTGTGTGTGTGTGTGTGAGAGAGAGAGAAATTTTGGAGGCTGCAGTTTGGGATAAATTGCCAGAGTGTGTGAGAGAGACAGGTGAGCGGGCAGAATGAGGCCAGTCAGACTGTAGGTGACTGACAGGATAAGTTTATTTTAGCCAGGAGGTCTATCACATGATATCTCTGCTTCCATCACTCACTCTCTCGATCTCTCTTCCTCTCTGTCAGGCCTTTCTACCTTTTTTTATCTCATGCCATTCATGTCTATCTGTTTTTTTTTCCTCCTCATGCTTGTTAATAATCCTGTTCTTGTCTGCCTTTCATCGCCAGTTAGCAACACCCACCCCTCCAGCAGTGACGGATGACCTGGGGGCCACGGGAGTGATAGGCCTGCTGTTATCTTCTCCTGGGTGACTACTGGTATGGTGTGTGTGCGCGTGTGTGTGCTGGCAGACTGATGGAGATGATATTGAGTATTTAGGAACAAAGAAGCCCTTCACTGTGGGATTAGGGAATCAGACGGCACATCAGCCTGACATTCCACAGAAATTCATGGACTTTGCATGGAGACATCTACCTGACCTGTTTAACTGCTGTGCATCAAATATCACCTAAAGGAATTACACTCTATAGGTTTTCCACGCTTTTTTGGTGTGTTTCTTTAGTCTATTCTATTCTGCTCTCATTTTGCACCGCTGAGTGTCTTCCTTCTTGGTGAAAATGGAGTTTTATTCTGTTTTTCTTCTTTTTAAATTGTATTAATTGTTATTTTCTCTGTGTTGTTTTCACTGTTTATTGTATGAGCTACTGTTACTGATGTTAGTGTGATTTTCCTTTTGAACTTCTGAGGGTTCTGTGAAGGTTTGGGGGGATCTAAGGATGCTGGATGGGCATAAGGGAAATCTGGGTTTTGGGTGAGATGTATGTGGGTTTTTGTTGTTGAATGTTCATGTATGTTGTGAGTTGGTGTTGTGTTTTGTGTGTGGACACCGGGAAGAATAGTTGCTCCAGGGTAGCAACTCATGGGGATCCAAGGTAATGAATAAACAAATAAACTTTGGCTACTGAAACACAGAGAATGCCTTTAAATCGGGTGTTAACACGCATCCAAGTGAACATGTAGCTCAAGGTTTGAAATGCCATCCTGACGCCAGCATTATGTTACAAAGC